CAACAAGTCAAAGGCAGTCAACTCGCCGAGGGCTAATACCTCGGTGAGTCAGTCCCCTGCCTAGCTCGGAGAGCTCGGGCTCTCCCCTAAGGGACACCAAGCTTTTACCTACCTGGGAAGGAGCACCTCAGTGCTTCGAGGCTGGGACCCATCTGCCCTGAAGCACCCCAGTTTGTGGCARCTCGGCGAGCCGCATGAGGGAAGGTAGGAAGATCTCCTGCCCGACCGCCGTACCAGACAAATCTAGTGACAGCAGTCGTGTCCCTCGTCAGGCAGCGCCGTGCCTTCCACCTTTAGAAGGTGTCCTACACCTGACAGACACGTACCCAGCGGTGACAGCCTCGCGTGTGCCACCTCAGCCCTGCCAATAATGGCTGCGACAGGTTGGCAGTGACGGTTATACCCGCCCTGTTAGAGGCCGACGGGGAGAGGTAACAGATTTCTGCTATAAGGAGTTTAGCATCAAGGCGGGAGAGGGATTGATCAACGGTACGCGCGCTATCTCCACTCTTAGTCTTCATCTTCCTCCTTGCTTCTCCTACCAAGTACTAACTTAATCATCGGAGTGTTCCCGCCGGGTAACTCCCTCCGGGAATTTTCTTCTTCTCAGGTATCTTCCAGGAGCCACGTGAGCGCCGGCTTGGAGTGATCAGATCGCGCTACATCAGGGTCGGTTTTAGTTTCATCTTTAGGCAACTCAACCAGGTTGGGTCAGTTGGAAAAACACTAGTAAACCGATCCAACCCGACCCGTGAACAGCCCTTGTAATACCATAAGAATTTTATTATAAAATATTTTAGGGGAGTTGGTTCATCTCCCCTTCGACTGGGGAGGCATGATATCTTTGACGGGGCTTGTTCATCTGTCGGCTGCTTTGTTGGCTGTTGAGGGGTTGGCCTTGTGAGGGCCAAGGGGGCATTGGACCAGTGCTGCATGAGTGAAGTGTTCACTGTGTTACCCCTTGCTCTCAATGGGGTGGTCTCCTATCGGGTGCCCCACCTTGTTCAGTCTTTAAGTTATATTGTCCAATCTATCGGGGACCATTTTGAATTGGTCTATGGTGACCAGGTTTTGGGTGTTTGGATTATTGTTTTGTTTAGCAGCCATTTTTTGGAAGCTTAGTTGTTTGGATTCAGTGTTTTCTTAGGGAAGTCTTGAGAGTTCCCATAGACAATGCCAATTGTTGCTGTCAAGGATGGGGCCGAGGGCAGTAAGGCAAATATGCTTTCTTAAACGAGGCCGATGTGTCCAACCTTAGAATAAGGGAGTGCGTTAGAGGACCCAGGTGTTATCCCAAGGGCGGAGACTCCGATGGTCAAGTCAGTTAAGCGCTTCAAAGGGGTCAGACCAAACTTGAGATGAGGGCTCAAACGATATCACTCTAGAGCAGGAGAGCTAGAGAGCAATAATGAGCAAGATACCCTTACCTGGAGTTGAGCACCCCTATTTATACTTGACCTTGCCTTAGAGTGGTTGGATGTTGTTGGGAATGGATGACTAGGATCTCGTTTGTTCGATGCCACATGGTGCAATCATGTGCCCAGCCATATGTGCCTATATCAATTTCCTTGCATTGCTTTGATTCCAAACATTTGTTGAATGAACTTTCCTTTTTTCTTGTGAATGTTAAATGGAAGTTTTTTTATTATAATTTTCTCTCTTGACATCACCTCAAAAGTATTGGAGAAGATGCTGTAACTCGTGCAGCATTTTATAGAAAAGCAAACAATCATCTGCAAATAATAAATAGGTGACAATGGGAGCCGATACTGCTAATTTCATGCCTTATTTGTAACCCTGTTGCTCAACATTTTGCAACATGCAAAATAGTGGCTGCATAACAATAATAAATAGGTAAGGGGGGTAGTGGATCCCCTTGCCTTGTATGAGAAGGAAGCTGAAATAAGTCTGATAGCACCTTGTTTATCTTAATTGGGAATGAGAAGTAGATATGCATTGGTGTATTTGTTATGGGCCCGCGCGTAGGATCTAGTCACGGGTCGGTCCATCGGGAGAGATTCCTGTCTTCCCTTGCCCTTGGCCTTGCATACAGACCCTATYGTGGCAATCGCGTGGGTGATTTGTCCAAGAGATCACCCGAACTCTCCTAATGGGTGATTTGTCCAAGAGATCACCCGAACTCTCCTTACTCTCTTTCTTGACTGCGAAAACTGAATGCTTTATTTCAATTCGTAGCTCCTTAAATAGGAGATTACAGAAGAGAATTCCTTGTTGGATTCGACTAGGCTAGGGTAATCCAACTCAAACTAAAACTCCTAATTTTCTACTCAAACTAAAACTCATAACTCTTACTTAAGAAGATAAAATAAGATAAGATAAGGGATAAGGGATAAGGGATAAGATAAGCTGGCGGCGAGTTGGCTTGATGTGTCCAGATAAGGGTGGGCCCACCCCTATGAGCTATCGTGTGGGCCCCGCTCTGCTGCTGCTACCGGGTGCGTGCGCACAGCTCATGGTGCCAATGCCGTGCGGTGCCGAGCGTGTGCGCAGTGCGTGCGGTGCGCGCTGCTGCCTGGCGGTGCGTGCTGCGCGCCATGGTGCCGCTGCCGGGCATGTGCGTGGTGCATGCTGCCGTGCAGTGCGTGCTGCTGCCTATGACTGCGCCACAGTGCGCTTCCGGATGGTGTGACCATAACATTACACCCCTCCCGGACTACGAGCTTGTCCTCAAGCTCGTATTCCAGATACATGGCTTGGGACTCTACGAATGGATCAAACGGCTGCACACTATTTCTCAGTCCACCAATAGTATGAACAACAGGAACTGCCCCGTATCTCAGTGCTTAAAGCTGGATTATTTGATGCAGACCCCAACCACCTTCTTTAGTTTCCAGCTCCCAGGCGTAACCATGGCTTACAGTGACTACACGATCTGCTGCACTCAGTCCAACCACAAGGACATTGAAGTGTTCCCCACCTCCTGGGTCATATAGTTTGAAGTAGTTTTGTGGAAGATCAACATAACAAAAATCGTGTACTGGACCAGGGCCCTGGTGTGCTTTGTTGTGGATCACAGGAACGCACTGGGTATACTTATAGAAGAGAACCTCAAGAGCTGCCTTACCGAAGAGACCCATGCATTTTAAAATATCCTCTCGGCCTCCCCCATATATATTTCCCTCAATATTGTGAAACATAGGGCTGACCGTGAACACAAAATCCATGCCATCAATATAAACTTGAGAGAAAGTTACCTCTATATCCTGCCCCTCCACCTTACATCTCTTGCGCACTCCTGTTTCCTAGGTTTCTTCATAGTTACCATACTGTGGTGCCGCAACCATAACTCTATGTCTACGCCGAGCCAAGGCCTTCGGTAAAGCCCTAGCAGCATCGCCAAGCCCACCTGTCTTCGTCAAAGGAGCACATTCTGTAGGTTCTACTATAATGTTCGTGACATTGTCCCCGGCCAAAGGAGGAGACTTTACAGTTTCATCCTCCGTGCGCTAATCCTTGGAAATAACTGCGGCTGTAGGGGCAGCGATTTGTTGTTCGCTAGATGCCTCTGCCCAGTTGTTCGCTGGATGCCTCCGTTCGCTGGATAACTCTTACTTAAGAAGATAAAATAAGATAAGGATAAAATAAGATAAGGGATAAGGGATAAGATAGGGATAAGGGATAAGATAGGGATAAGGGATAAGAGATAAGATAAGCTGGCGGCGAGTTGGCTTGACGTGTCCAAATAAGGGTGGGCCCACCCCTATGAGCTGTCGTGTGTGCTCCGCTCTGCTGCTGTTGTCGGGTGCGTGCACACGGCTCATGGTGCCGCTGTCGCGCAGTGCGTGCGCGCGGCTCATGGTGCCGCTGCCGTGCGGTGCCGGGCGTGTGCGCAGTGCGTGCTGCGCGCCATGGTGCCACTGCCGTGCGGTGCCGGGCGTGTGCACGGTGCGTGCTGCCGTGCGGTGCACACTGCTGACTGGCGATGCGTACTGTTGTGCGTGCTGCTGCCTATGACTGTGCCGCAGTGCGCTGCCGGATGGTGTGACCATAATAGTAAAATATGTATATACAATTCTACAGTCAATGATCCCCTTAAAATCAAGACTCAATATTGCTTCAAAATTCAAGGGTAAAGAAAGATTCCAAGATCATTTACCTCGCCTGGCACCGACGAAGTGAACGTGGGGCATCTCCAACCGGCTTGAATTCCTACAGCTTCTTGAAGTTCAACCATGGCTTCACCCACACCTTGGCTTCATAAATTTTCTTCCTACCAGCCTCAATCACCTCCAGAGTCAGATGGTGCAAAGTACCAGCAACCACCTGCTCCTTCACCTTCATAATCCTCGCAAACTCCAGCAACGCATTCTAACCCTAATTATCAAACAAACAAAAAATTAATAAATAAAATAATTATTTTCTTATATAGAGGGAGAGAGGGAGAGAGAGACGATTAATTTTACCTTGTACAAAGAGAGAGAGAGAGTCAATCTTAACTTTAGGACTTCAACAGATCGAGATACCTCAGCTTTACCTTGTACAGAGAGAGATGGAGGGACGAGGGTTCAGTGACTTCAGTCGAGGTCAAAATCGATCTCAGCTTTACCTGGTACAGAGAGAGAGAGAGGGGGACAAGGGTTCATGAACGGAAAAAAAAAAGAATTGGTAGGATGGGGCACGAAAAATTTTCATATCACAAAATATGTTAAATTTTTGCTGCGACCCAAATTTTATTCTGGGAAGAATGCGTCCTGCGGCAAGAAGTGAATATCCAAACACTTGCATCTCATTCATTCTTGCCCATTCTTTTTCAGAATCGACAAGAATTAAAAGAATGAGGCCACTGGTAGTGAACCAATCATGGCCTAAAGCTCTAGAAAAGAAATTTCAGCTTAACACAGCCTGGACAACTAACGTATCTAAAATCTTTGACTTTACATATTTCAAAGAAAAGGAACAACAAAATGGTTGATAAGAGTACAAACACAGGTTGACTTAAAATCAAAAACTTACAACGAAGCTTCTTTTCCGTGTACCTGTTCTAGTGTTCCATTAGATGATGAAAGTAAAACAAGTCAATCGTCGGAATAAGGTAAAGCCCAAATAGAAGGAACAGAGAATAAGAAAAAACATGTCAATCAGCCTCTGCATCAGTCTCTCCATCTACAATCCCTGTCTCAGCCTCTGCTTCCACTTCTATTTCTAAATGCCCTGCCTCTGGAACTACATCTGTGTCAGGGCTCTGCTTCTGATTCTCATCCGGTGTCGCCACTCCGCTGTTAGGGATACTAATAACAGTCGCATCAGTTTCCATTGGCACTGCTGCTGCGTCCTCAAATTCAGTTCCAACTCCACCATCAATATCAGTTGCAGGGGTTGTGATCTGATTATCTTCCACTTGTTGAGCAGTACCCTTCATCTCTTCTTCCTTTTTAGCTTTTTTAGACCTTTCATTAGGTTTTGTGTGATACTTAGAGCGAACTTCCAGTGGAAAAAGTTCTGGGGGCACAACCCCTTCAATGCCATATTCAGTAAATCGGGAAAATCCTTCAAGGTCTTGTCGAGCAGAAAAACGGAGGCCTTTCCAGCAATAGACCCGGTTGTTTTTGTGGTGATATTCAGCTTCAATACCAGCAGATATATCCATATCTTCAGCCAAAGCTTTCCAATATTCCATAACTGATGGGATCCGAACACGTTGAGAATCAGTCAGAGCATCTGGGTTCGCTTCTGCCCACTTCCACAAGTGATGGAGTTCTTTATTTCCCAGCCTCCACCGTGGCCTACGTTTTCTCAATCCATCTTGGCCCATTTTCTTTTCTGCTGGTTGCTTTTCAAATGGGGGACAACCATCACGTTTCCACCAAACCCAATTCTTTTCTCGTTCTAATATATGTTCAATGCAGTGTAGAAACTCCTTCCCTTTAGGAGGAATCGATTCAAGAAGCTTCTTAACACACTCCTCATAAGACTTGATCTCCTCTTTCATGCTTTCAGATGGCACACCCTTATCATTTTTCCCAGGGGCCTTTAAGTAGTCAAATAATATGAGGCACTGAAGGAGAATGTGGCATCGGAAACTTGGATCTTTCAACTCTAAACCCATCAATTTACTGCTTGTAAGATACTTTATGCTGAAAGTTGATGCTTCTTGTTCTTCAAGATTGTTTGTGTTTCCATCATCATCACTCAAAGGCTGAGCCTCAAATGTATCCAATACAACCATTAAGTTGGACACAAATTTCTGCCACTTAGTAGGAGCTAGAGTTGTGGCAGCTGGGTTACAAAAATGCTCCTGTAAACTCCAAAAGATCGTGTAGAAATTGAAATCAACGGAAGTGCCATCAGGAGCATCCTTTTCATATCTGGTTTCATTGGAAGTATTAAAAACTCCCTTTATATTAACAGCTGAACGTTCTGACAATGGGAAGAAATGAGCCAAAAACATAAGAATTCGTCCACAAAACACCACATCATTTGCCTTTGAAAGACGACGAAGAAGCTGATTGCATGTCCTCAGCATCACAAGCTTCCCCCGCCCGAATAGCTCTTGCTTCCCCAAGATGTCTTGTTTACTCTCTATATAACCAAATACTTCTTTGCAATCTCTCATTGTTGACATCTCTGTCAAATCTTCTAACAGCTGGAATATCATACCACCTTCAACATGGCCTCTCTCACAAAGATACAACACAATGTCAAGAAGCCTTGGTATGTGACCCTGGGTCTCCTCCATATCCATTGACTGCCCATACTGCATTATTCGTTCCCCTGACTGAACTGCAGAAGACACCAGTTCTTGAAGTAGAGTTCGAATCGCATTTTCCAATGATTGATTCTCTTCTTGGACTAACACTGTTTGCCTCTGAGTTTTTATAGCATCTTGCACTGTTTGGAGAGCAAAATTTGCAGGTGGTCCAGGTTGCAGTATTGCACTTCTGAATATTTCAAGAACTTGGTCCCTCTCAGCATGGCTGGAAATGTAAACAGGTACTCGCTCTTTCTGATGTTGGTGTAGAAGAATTCGAAGGCCTTGTGGAGCTTCCGCCATTGAAGAAACAGAAAACAAGGGAGTGAGCACACGACGAAAGAGAGACGATAAGCATCAAAACTTTAAACCATGCCCTAGACCATCTAAGGCACCAAAATCTAATGTAGCTCCTGCTCTTGCTGAGGCACCAATACCATTAATAACTGATGAAGGGAAATTTGGCCCGACCTCGCGATCGCCCGACACGTGGCAAAGGCAAACAGCTCGGGACAGTAGAGCACCCAAAGCGAACATCGGAAGCAAGTCCAAACTCACTACCGAGCCCGAACTCCAGACCGCTGTACTTNGTGCGCGCGGCTCATGGTGCCGCTGCCGTGCGGTGCCGGGCGTGTGCGCAGTGCGTGCTGCCGTGCAGTGCGTGTGGTGCACGCTGCTACCTGGCGGTGCGTGCTGCCGCCATGGTGCCGCTGTCGTGCGGTGTCGGGCGTGTGTGCGGTGCGTGCTACCGTGCAGTGTGTATGGTGCGCACTGCTGCCTAGCAGTGCGTGCTGCTCGCCATGGTGCCGCTGCCGTGCGGTGCCGCTGTTGTGCGGCCTGCTGTGCGTGCTGCTGCCTATGATTGCGCCGCAGTGCACTGCCGAATGGTGTAACCATAACAGTATCAGATTACACCACTGTGATGTCATACCCTCCGTTATTTTTATGATGAATAATGGAGGGTATCATAAGCATTTGACATGTCCAACTTTATTGCTACCCAACCCACACTCTTCTTTTATTTTCATCTTATTAATTTTTCAAGAATTATGTTATTTGTGCATAATCCGCCCTTGATGAAAGGTGCTTGATTCTCTAACACTAGATGTTGCAGCTTTCTATTTAAAAAAAAATGAAATTTGGGCGGTGATGGGTTTTTTACGATCCATACAAGTATGAGTGGGATACAATAATAGGTTTGTTGAATTTATTAAAATATGCTTAGTGATTATAATACCACTATTTTATGCATTTTTTGTAAGTTTTAATCAAATAATTGAAAGTTTTCATGTTTCTTGCTTATAAGTATATATAATAGAGAACAATAGATACTTAGATATGAGTTCTGCACCCAATCCATCGGACTCACCCCACTCATTTGTGGGGGAAGATAGAGGAGTTTGGCTTCAGTTAGGGCAAAGCCCATTCCAATAGTCTCTACTGTCTTACATTGAGAATATTTTCATACTTATACGTTTTATATCATGGGAAGATATTCCCAAGATTTCAAAAGGCTGTTAGAATAGTGTGGGCACATATTTGCCCTGATGAATGTATTAATCTAATACATTCATAAAAATAAAATGACATAAACTAGCTATATAAACCCTCTATAGACAAGTAAGGGTGCAAATTAGGCGGATGAAAGTTGGGCCTTTGTCAAAATTCAAGGACCTAATCCGAATACCTGAACCCGAAGCAATGTGAAATGTTAACTCGGGTCAACCGGAATTGCAGCCCTATGCTCAAGGACTCAAGGGCATCTGAAACAAAGGGTCCCAATGATATGATCACACCGACATTTAACCAACCCGGGTCACTAAAATTTAAACCTAATGTGGGTTAGATTCATTTAACCTCAACATAACCCTACACCCGACTAGGGATACCCTAAACCCAACATAATCTTATCAGGTTGAATTGATGTGGATTTTCTGTTTTAACTTTGACCGATTGACATCCCTACATAAAATGTTCTTCTCACGTTGAGTTGAACCTTGTCAATGTAGTAACACATGGTATGCTCATGAATGTGTACAAAAGCTACGTGAGAACCGGACAGTACTTGGCTAATCCTGATATGTCATATCATTCTACTGTGAGGGACCCATTTATACCGAGTTGATACGGTGCATGATTGACCTATCATTCTGACTACAACCATAGATTATTCTTTCTTAGCTATTTTTTGTTTTGAGCAGCCGAGCAGGTGTAAATGCATGTGTATGAAGTTTACACATAAACCCATTTGTTTTATTTAGGTTGTGTTTGGAATTAGTGTAAATTAAGAATGATGTAAAACTTTATATATGTTGAGTTTTATTGGCTTTGGAAGGTGATGCTACACGATTTGGGCACTCCTAGTTAGCTGTGACTTGGCTTCTGACTGGAACGAACGGCACCTGAGAGGAAGGAGGAAGTGAAGGGTTTATAGGGAGATATCCCAGTGGGAATACTCCGATGGCTAAGTTAGAACTGATGGAAATCTCAAAGAGGGTAGAGAGTAAGAGTGCTCCAAGTGCTTAAGCTTCAATACCTTTTCTCTGTGTGGGTTCGGGTTCTTTTATGTTGGAGTCAAGTCATACCTGGCATAACCGCTCTCGCCCTTGCCGTTACTGCCAGGGCAGGTGTGGCAGGCGCAGGTTGCCACCACAAATTGCCATTGCTAGGTACGGGCCTGACAGACGTGTCATGCCCTCCAGAGGAGTCAAACAGAACGCCGCCTAGCAGGCGGAACGCCACCTGGCGTGGGATCAGAGCCCTGCCACTGTGTTCGGTGGGTACGGATGTCAGACAGGGCTCCCCATAGCTTACTGAGCTACCGCGCACCGGACTGTCTGGGGGCAGGTTTGTCCCTGTACCGAGGTGTCGAGGTGCCTGCACTGGGGGGAGGGAGGACGATGCTGCCCCGGGGTGCAGTTGGGACACTTAATCACGAGCCAGGGTGCTCCCCTTTCGGGAAGGGAGAGCTTTGGGCCCCTTAGGGGGAGCTCGGGACCTTCCATACTTGGTGGAAGTCAAAATAGGCCAGGCGTCGGTCCCCGACGAGTTGCTTAACTCGCCAAGTGGCCAGCGTTGGGCTCGGCATGTTTCTCCCGTCGAGTTGTGGTTGTGTTGTCAGGCTGAGCTGTACACTGGGCCAGGTCATGTACACGTGTCCCCGGGCTACGAGGTCGGGCCAAATCGCCCTTCATCAAAAGGAATGTAAATGAAGATCAATATAAAACTATGTTCTGATTTAGATTTATTAACATTTGGATAGAGTGGAGTTTTACATCATGAATCAATGTAAAACCTCATCAAGTATAAAGTTTTATATCGATTATCGATATAAATACTATCTTGATTTTATTGATGTAAAACTTTATATTTTTTTATTATGGTTTTCAAAATGTAACGGTTATCTATATACGGTTCAGTGTAAAATATCATCAATGCACTTTTACACTAATGGCGTTTTACACCAGATCCAAACGAAGCCTTAATTTGCACCGATTTAAAGGCAAAGGGAATGCAAATGGGTTCACTATGAATTCTAGTTTGCTTTTGTTTTGGATTTGATTTTATAATATTGGTTTGTCATGATCCCTATTTTATGTACAAGAGAACGAAGGCAGGGGGAAAGGTAGGGGGAAGGTGTTACAAATTTTACGTAAGTTTTCACCGCCTGTGTTTGTGAAAATCAGTGGAACTGTGGAATTATGCATTTGAATCAAGGTCTGCAGTGGCTTATAAAATACAAGATTTTACATTCTACATATTTGTATTTATACTCCTTCCAAACTGAGCCTTAAAGAAGAATGCAAATATATTTTGAATATTGTGTTTGCCCTTCAAGTGGATACGAATTTTGCTTCTAAACATGGATAAAAAATTAATTTGTAACATCCATTGATGGATGTAAACCAACTGATGACTTGAAAAATTTTTTGCCAGTTTTTACATTGTGTTGTTATTACACTCCTCTAAATTAGGGCTGCCAATGGATTTCGAAAATCCAAAATTTGATTTGGCAAAATTTGTTGACACAAATTTCTGATACTCCTGGTGCGACACTCTTTCTCTCATTTTTTGATTCGACAAATTTACGTAATTAGATTGGATTTAATTTTTACATTTTGCTTCTGACTTATAATGATTAAAATCTGAATTCGATTATATTCTGATATATATTGTTTTAATATTTAAAATTGTATAATTATATATAAATATAAAAAAATATAATTTATATATTATACTATATATAAATTTATATATATATGCAATAAATTCAATATTTCATATTTATATTATCTATTATATATAAGTTAAAAAATAATTAATATTTTAAATTTTTTTATTTAAAAAATGAAGGGAGGTCAGGTTGAATCTAAATTTGATACAAGTAGTGGTGTCAAATGTCAATTGGGCCAGATTTGGTCCAACCCAATCTGGTTCAATATGAATCCATTGCAGATGGACCAGGTCCAATCCAATCCAATGTATACTCTTGAACATTTTGGTTGGACCAGTCCAATTCAATCTCTGAGCTGTCCAATCTTTTCAATTTAGTTTAATTTAGATTGGTTCCAACCCACACCTGATCCATTGACACCTATATTCATATCTTTTATCGATGGTATAAACATTGGTTCAATCTGACCAAATCTAATATAAATCCATTAGAGATGAATCAAGTCCAATCTAATCCAATAAATTCTTTGGACTATTAATTCGAGACTGATCCAATTCAATATGTCTTATTGGTCTGTCCAAATTGATTTTGATTTAGACGAGATCCAATCCAAAGCCGATCCATTGGCACCTTTAATTAGATGCAAATCCAATAGGATTTTGGATATCCAATTTATTCACGATCCAAACAACATGTGGAAAAATGTATCACAATTGATCCAATAATGGAGCCTAAAGCACCATACAATCATCTCCGTCCTATAATATAGGGTAAATTCTCTTAAGTCTTAAGTAATATTTTATAAATAAATAAATAAATAAATCTTATAATCTAATAAAATCTTGAGAAACCAACTTTTGATGGTTTATAACTAATATTTTCTGTCACCGTCTAACTTTTTTTTTGAAATTTATTTATGTATTATTAGATAATAAGATGTAATTTCAATATTTCATATATTCACACTTTTGTATATAAAAAGGGCCACTACCAAATGTTAGTCGCACCTATTTGAAGCAATAGGATGGATTACATTGGTATACAAGCGATGAAAAATTAAGTAGATAGACGTTAGTCGTGAGATGCCCATACCCTACCAACAAGGCATTACAGCTGTACATCAAGAACA